GGCGGCTCCGCATCGGGCAACAGCGGCACCCGGAGTCCCCGCGCCGCCACTGCAGCGGCGTCAAGTGTGAGGCGCCCCAGTCACTGCCCCATCCAGCCGCACTGTCAGCAGCGGGATCGTTAACAGCGCCCTCAACTACCCGAGAGCGAGAGGGAGACGTGCAGCTTTGTGGATATGAGATTCACCTTTGGCTTTCGCGAGTTTTCTCATCCACTGGGAAGGGCCGCTCAAACGACCTTTGTAACGAAGAAGAGTCTGGGTGAGGAACGTGTAACGAAGCAGTGAAGGAGAACGCGGTGTTTGTACAACGGGGCACAGACGAGTACAGGTAAGTTCAGGCAGGCACACGGTACAGCAAATATTTACTACGTCTGATATCTTCTGAGAGCATCTAGCACTAGCGCTGTGGGTTGACCTCCCCAGCTCTTTTATTTTCAGGAGACCCAACAAGCAGCAGTTGCAAAGTACTTTAGAGCATGAGCTACTGCAGAAAGGATGCATCGAATCCTCGACGTACACTCGTTTCTTTGAGGCGAGTCTTGGTTATGCTCTATTTTTTTATACATCTTTGGGAGTGAAAGAGATTCAGTGCGTTGGGAGAACATAGCAACATTATTGTCTAGAACAGCAGTAGCAGTATATGCTCCCAGTTTTATGAACTACGGAGATCACAAGTTCTAGTGTTAGAACAGTGAACACATGCCTGTTAAATACTCGTTTCAAAATTGTTTCTCTTAGAGAACGGGATAAGCAAGTAAGTATAAGAACGTGGACGAGCAGCAAAAATATACCAATGTATTTCCTTCTCCCAGGTTGGTACAATTCCCAATGTGTTTATTCCAGGGATTGTAAATAGGAGCAATTATCTACTACTCTGCAGTAGTGGCTGATATAGGTGTTTGCAAACGGCCAAAATCAACATGCCAGGTACAAATCCAAGTAAAACAAAGAACTAGTAGAAACAAAAATAAGGAAACTACTGCAAAAGAAACCTCAGTAAGGCTTCGAAGAAACGCAACTTCAGAAAGGAGCAGTTTAACGATGATGCAACCACAGCATGATATGTTTTGTAGCAAGAGACTGCAGAACATTCCAGGAGTGGGATGTACTGAAGAATGGAAAGGATAAAAGAAGACATTACTGAGTGCAACACCTACAGAAAACAGCTTAATCTTCTATAGTACATGTATTTACGATAGCACTACCTGTACTGTAAGCTAAAGATGGTGTGAGGAATAACGAAAGACGTCCCGCACTACAGGCATAGCCTAAGTGATCCTGGTCAGAATATCTGCATTGGACCTGGTGGAGAAAGCAATTGTCTTCTTGACAACATCACTACAGCATTCAGTGAGCTCTCACTACTTCCTCTTTTGCCCCCGTGGTCATACCAAAGGAGTAGCAAGAAGTATCCTGACAGCACTATCAGGTTCCTGAGTACACACTGCACGCATACGTTGTTGGCCACATCAACACTGTAAAGCCGGAGGCACGCAGACGATGCCAGCGTGACAGCATTCCCCCAGAGAGGCAAGTGTTCAGAAGACTTCAGTGACTCGGGACCTTCAGTCACGACCCTCCCACCCCTCGGGAGAAAAGAACAAACAAACAAACAAACAAACAAACACACAAACACACAAAAACCCCAGAACCAGTATCTGTTGGAGGCCTGACGAAGCCAGGAGAGACGCACTGCAGTTCTCCAGGGCTTTCTCAGTGTTGGCAACCTCCGGGAACCGGGACAGCCATCACTCGAGTCCCACCCCACAAAGGCTTGAAGAGACGGAAAAAAATGCAACACGCATCTTCCATCAACACGAGGTAGATATACGTTTTTAGAGTACAGTTCTAGGCTGGGGCAGCGTTCACTGAACTGCATTGCCTCCAACCTCAGAGGTCCAGTGAGACAGTGATACCGACTTGACACAAAAGCTTTTCGACTGCCCTAGTAACTTTGAAGGCATTCTGCCCTCTCGTAACGACACCAAGGGCTCCACACGCCATTGGGAACCATGCGCCAGCTTGCTTTCTCACACTTCACCCATACCTTCAAGGCCTAAGGACAGGCTGCCGCCTATAAACATACAGCCGTTGAGCTCCACTCACAAGACAGTGGAGGACCTCCGGAGGAGCGCAACGGTGATCCCCCACTTAGGTCAAGTGGTGCCTCTGTCGCATGCTCATATATTTCACAACTTGGCACTTACCAAGCAGCCGTTTCGCTCCTCCAGCCTCTTAGTCCCTCCACAGCTTGGAGCTCACTGTTGGCCCAAAGCAGGGAATGCCAGCAGGCAACCGGCAATACACAGGCACACCGAGGAATGGTCTCCCGATCGAGGCAGCAGTACCTCCCACTCGCAAAACGCACACTGCATCCTCGAGCGTCCCATTCACCCTTCTGTCACAACGCACCGATTGACACATCGCGTGAAGCATGTTCTGACACAACGAGCCCCCAGAAGCCTACGCCATCTCCCTGGTCAACGCCTTCTCTCCTGCAGCTCGTGGATTCTCTGGGGGTGCTAGACACAGCCAGGAAATTCATCGTCCCCACACAGGCTCTTCTGGCCGCCTTTCCCCACCACCCAGGGTCAGGCTCCGAACCCACCACAAGTGTCAGGCCTTTATACAGAAGCTCACGCTGCCTACATGCTTGCCACTCCCATTGCCCGCCGACTCATTGCACCCGTTTGAGATAACTAGCACCAAAGGAAAAGGGCGTGTCCTAAGAGGAGGGCGAGAAGAACAGCGACCAGCTGACACCCTTTCTAAGCAAATGCAAATAACAAGCCGCTCACCAAGAAAATCCACCTGAAAAACACATTTCCGTTTCCGCGAGCTCCGCACCCCCTAGAGCACTGCAAAAGCAAATCGTATCGGCAACAGGGACCTTCGAGGAGGTCGTAGCCACACCCGCAGCTATCCCTCCACCTCTGCTCGCTACTCTCCCGCTCTGTGACAGAAACGACGACGAGCAGGAAAGCAAAGGGACAAGTGCCGCCGCGCAGGGGAAAAGGCGCGAGGAGGGG